AGCGCTTCAGCGTGCGTTGCGAGGCCCAGCGCCCGCGAAGCTTCAACTCCAGCGGCGTCCGCAGGCGGTGGAGGAGGTCGCTGGGCGCTCCTCCGTGGCGAAGGCCGCGCGCCGTGATCCCCAGGTCCCGCAACTGGAGCTCGGCCGCCGCCTCCGAGAGGCGGACTGACAGGTCGCCCGGCGGAAACTGCCAGATGCGGTCCGTCGACTCGCGGGCCCTCATCTTCAAGACCTGAGGGCAGGGGCGCAAGTGCGTCAGCGAGTCCAGGAGCACTGCGCCGTCCCAGGCGTTGGTCTTGCTGGGAGCGACCGTCTCGACTGGCGCCAGCAGCAGCCCCCAAACGTTCGCGGGCCCTCTGGCCGCCTCGACGAGGGTGACCAACTGGAGCGACGTGAGCGAGTCGCACTCGCCAGGCCGAAGGTACGCCGCGAAGGAGAGCAGGGCGGCCGCAGCATGCTCCACCAAACCGCGGTTGATGAACACCCCCACGATCGCCGCCAGCAACACCCGCGGGATGGGCACGCGGGTCTTCCGAGGCACCACCTTGCCCCAGCCCGCCAGTGCCCGCGGAGTCCGCGGCAGCGCGCCCGCTCCCCAGCGGCCAAAGTCCGGCTAGAAGAACTTGATGGCAGCGATCAGCTTGCTGGCGTCGTCGCCCGCAAAGCCCCCGAAGAACAGCTTGTCCAGGAAGAGCACCAGGCAAACGTCCAGCTGCTCGAAGCTGTCCCAGCTTAAGCGGACCGACGTCGCCCAGTGGAGGAAGGCTGAGGCCCGGCGGTGGTAGTCCTTGTAGGTCGCTGGCGCCACCGACCGCCCCTCCAGGCAGGACAGCTCTGCTAGGGTCGGGGGGGCGAAGGGCGACGGCGGCAGCGGCAGGCAGCGCTGGCGAGCCGCCGCGCGCACTGCACTGGGGGCCCGAGTCTGTCCCGCCATCCAAGCTGACGCCTCGGGAACCAGCGTCCGCGCCATGTAAGGGCCTGCTCTCGCCGGAGATTGGGAACGGCGGGGCGGCCGGGAGCACGCTGGCGACAGCGTCAATAACCACGGCGCCAACAGCAGGGCCCAGGGAGTCCGCCTTGACCGCGCGATTGATGAACGCGCGACCTCTCGATGGGCAGCCAGAAGGATTACGCTCAGAAGGGGCCCGTGTAACCGAGAGCCGTACATTGCCGGCCAAATATAGGCAGCATATTTCACGAAGCTCATCTCGGATCTGGAAGGCCCCTGAGCGCCCCTTGCCAACCGCGAGAGCCAGCCCGAGGTTGTCGACGAAGATGAGCAGCCGTCGACCGAAAGCAGAGCGGCTTCGAAGCAGATGACGAAGAGCCGAAGACAGAGCCAGCCCATCGAGTCGGAGGACGTCAGCATCTGCCCCCCGTTGGAAGCTCGGGGCCACCTGCCAGCGGTCGGGCTGCATGAAGTCGGCGTCCACCGGGTCGAAGGAGTTGGCCTCTGCGCGCGCCTGCAGCAGCCCAGCGGTGTAGCCCGTCACGTCGTCCTGCGCAGCAAAGGCGGACTCTGGGCAGAGAGTCGCGCCCATGGCCAGGGCGTCCGCCGCCTCCTCTGCCGAGAAAGCGCGGCCCCTCGCGGCAGCAGCCCCCGAGACGCGACACCTCCAGCGCTCGGCCACGCGGCCGAGGGCGGCGGCCTCAGCAGGCTTGCGGTGCCTGCGACAGACTCCGCAAACCCAGCGGGAGGCATCACTGGCAGCCACCACGCCATGCCATCGGGCGCCCGCGTTGACGACCAGCAGCGGCAGCAAACCCATGACGATGGTCAACTCCTGCCTGACCGAAGGCCACAGCACCTCAAGCCGCCCTCGGCACTGCCGCGCGAAAGCGTAGACTGGGGACAGCGTGGACAGCGAGCAGCGCTGGATCAGCATGACCCACGTCAGGTGGCCGATGAGGATCTCCATAACGTCGCCGCTGCACCGCCCTTTGGCCAAGAGCTCGGCGAGGACGGCCTTCAGACGCCAGATGCGCTTGCACGAGACGCGCACGGCGTGGCTGCGGCCGTCCAGGTCGAGCCCAATGAACTGCACCTTTGACGAGACGCCCGTCCCCTTGTGCACAACGAAGCCCGAGTCGGCGAAGGCGCTGGCCACGCGCTGACCTGTGGAGGCCACAGCTTGCCGAGGCCCCCCCACCACCAGGAAGTTGTCGACATAGGCGGCGCCCTGGGGCACCCGCTGCTCCAGAGGTATTGCTGCTGCCCGGTCGCTAATGAGGCGCTCGCTAGGTAGGCCTCCGTGACGGGTGCCCTCTTCGACCGCGAGCTGGCAGAGGTGCAGCGCCCAGCTCCAGCCCATCGGAAGGACGGCGAGGTGCGGGGTGAGCAAATCGCCCCGCCGCGAGGGGCGGCCGCTGACGACTGGGCAACCAACCGCCTCAGCACGCGCAGGCGCCAGCCTGAAGTCGTCGCCTAACGCCTCAGGTATCGCGACGGCGTAGAAGGCGTTCTGGATGTCGCCCGCGTAGAAATAGCACGCGTCGCACT